TGGTGGTGGACATGGTGGTGGACATGGTGGTGTTGATGGACGTGATGGTGGTGGACATGTTGGACGTGGTGGACATGGTGGTGGACGTACAGCTCATTCTTCTTTGGCTGTTGTTTCCCAGGGGACATCTGGACCTGACCCCACCACCGTCTTCGTGGACATGAGAGCGTTACGTCACGACAGGTGAGTGGGAGATTAAATCACTGATTGGTCGATCAGAGTTATCACAGTGGTGATGAATCCAAGATAATACAGGGCGCCCCCTGCTGGCTGCATTAGTAAAAAGCTGTTAGAACAGCTGTGACGTTTGAAAACAAAATTTTCTTTTTTTTTTTTCTTTCACAGAGTCAGACTAGTGGAGAGAGGATCACCTCACAGTCTGTCACTGATGGAGTCTGGGAAGGTGTGTGTGTGTGTCAGCGTGTGTGTGTGTGTGTCAGTCAGCATGACACTCATTCGGCCTCTTGTTATTGTGTGTGTGTGTGTGTGTGTGTGTGGTTCTCTTCTCTCAGATTCTTCCTGGAGTCAGGATCATCATCGCAAACCCAGAGACTAAAGGACCAATGGGAGAGTCTCACCTGGGAGAGGTGACCAATCACAGTCCACCTAACACTTGACTTCATTATGTCTGAGGATGATCTTGAGAGTGTGTGTGTGTGTGTGTGTGTGTGTGTGTGTTGGCAGATCTGGGTCCACAGCGCTCATAACTCCAGCGGTTACTTCAGCGTGTACGGAGACGAGCCTCTTCAGTCCGACCACTTCAACTCCAGACTCAGTTTTGGTGACACACAGACGGTCTGGGCCAGGACGGGTTATCTGGGCTTCCTGCGTCGGACTGAACTCACCGACGCCAGCGGGGGTCAGTACCAGACCAGAGCAGATGAGAACAGAGAACAGGATTTGACTAATGTCTGCTGATTATTGAGCGTGCGTGTGTGTGTGTGTGTGTGGTTATTGAGCGTGTGTGTGTGTGTGTGTGTGTGTGTGTGTGTGTGCGCAGAGCGCCACGATGCTCTGTACGTGGTCGGAGCTCTGGAAGAAGCCATGGAGCTCAGAGGGATGAGGTATCACCCCATTGACATTGAGACGTCGGTCATCAGGACACACAGGAGCATCACTGAGTGGTGGGAGGATATGACATCACGGCGTTGTGTCCAAGTGTACCAATCCAAGAATCACGCTCACACTGTTCTTCGTGGTTTGGTTTTCAGCGCCGTGTTCACGTGGACCAACCTTCTCGTGGTGGTGGTGGAACTGGACGGCTCAGAACACGAGGCTCTGGACCTGGTTCCTCTGGTCACCAATGTGGTTCTGGAGGAGCATTACCTCATCGTGGGCGTGGTGGTGGTGGTGGACATTGGCGTGATACCCATCAACTCCCGTGGAGAAAAACAACGCATGCACCTGCGCGACGGCTTCCTGGCTGACCAGCTGGACCCTATTTATGTTGCCTACAATATGTAGCGCCCCCCACTGGCAGTCATGTATATAGGACTATTCAGGAAAGAAAAAAATAGAACGCACATGACTTTTATTCTGAGGCTGCATTTTCGTAACAGCAGGAGAAAGGCTTTTTCGTTTTGTTCTCAGAGCTGTGCTGATCCGAGGCTCAGCTCCGGGTGGATGTCATCAGTTTTTGTCCTCATGAACAAAAGATGGAGTTCCCGTAAGGTCTGCTGTTCAGAAGCAAATGAGGTTTTGAAAATGGTTTCTCTGAGGCAGAAGGAGACAGTCATCAGCGTAGAAAAGATTCTGTCGTTAAACAGAAGAAAAACCTCTGGTTACTTTAAAAGCCGTCCTTTTTTACATTTTTACAACATCAAACTTTTAATACAGGAATGGCCCACCGGGGGTGCCGTGGAGTCTTGTAGGTACTCGCTGGTTTCTATCAGTGCTAAATCAACAGGTTAACGACGGTAAACCTGCCGTGACCACCTGTGCTTCAACACACAGTGGGGCGCTTCATATCATGTAAGTATGTAAAAACTGATTTAATTTATTTTGTCAGTCTTTAGGGGAAGTCTTTGAGAAAGTTTTACTCGAGAGTCTCTGGTAATATATATGTACAGAAAGGTGAGAAATACAGGAGACACTGTGAAAGGATGGGAACTTCTGTCTGAAATGATCAGGTCCACACACCAAAAAAACCTTTTGTTTGTTTCAGATCTTCAGTCGACCCAAATCAGAACAGAACAGGGAGGACAGTTTCAATCCTTTTTTTCCCCACAAAGTTTTTAAAACTAGTTTTAAATTTTTAGTTTTCAGAGTAAACGGCACTTTTGTTTCTCACACTTTCTTCAACTTTTCATCAGATGTGTTTTTTTTTTTTTTTCAATTGATTTAGTTTTTCAGTCAAATGATAAATATTTCCTGTTTAGACCACAAAGATTTGGTCCAATTATTTTTTTATGTCTGGAAACATTTTAATAAAATTGTGTGGAATTAAAAGAAATGTTTGTGTGTCGTTACTGTGCTGTACTACTAGCAATAATGTAAGTCTTATATAGCCTAATTTAACGTTTGCTAGCTACAAATCTAATTGTATAGATCAGTGTTTCCCAAACCTTTTTTTTTCTGGTGACCCATATTTTGAATGTCACAAACCTTCGCGACCCCAGTCAGCAGACATTATTCGTAAAACTCCTGGGAAACATGATGCGAGACGACCCAAAAAAAAAAAAAATCTGTTGTGACCCACCTGAGGGTCGTGACCCAGTCTTTGGGAAACAATGGTATAGATGCAGAGAAATATAGTATAAAGAAAACATTTATTGTCTAATATGTTTGAGAATTTTATTTGATGTGTTATTTAACTGAAATGGGGGAGGAAAAAGGACAATGTTTCTGTTTTTGGTTAAAAAAAATAAGTAAGTGGCTGTTTTATGATAAATGCGCCACAATTTCTAAGAATCATATCGACGATTTAAAAGGCCAGTCCTGCCCGCCGGTGGGTGCAGTTTTGCGTCACCACTGGAGGTCTCTAGTGAGGCCCTCTGTGTTTACCTCCAGCGCCGCCGCCGTCGCCGCCGCCGCCGCTGAACCCCGGCCAGCCCGCGCCCCGCCACCCCCCGCCGCGACAA